CCGTTAATGAGCGCCTCCCCGAACAAACAGGCCCCCGTCAGACGCTAAAAAGACGGCAGGCCCCTTCTCTCGCCCCCGGCAGACGGGGGGTTTCTTGTGCTTGACCGATCTCGTCCTAGCGCAAGCCCCCCCGTGGCCTCCCTCGATTGGACTCGCCGCCCATTGTTCAATTCTTCCTCTCAGACGTCCGGATACAAACCCATCATCAGTCACCCTTGGGTGAGGTAGCCAATAGTACGGAAGAGAGCGACAGAGCAGTACTTGTCTGTTCTGTCTGATCTTGTCGTCTACCTGCTCAGTCCCGGAGACAAAGATCTGGCCGATCTGCGATGATTCGCTCACTCTGATCGATTCCGGGACTGCTACGTCGGTCGTCGTCTGACAGCACCAGGCCAAAGGCTTCAAGTTTCTGACACAACACAGCGTTGACAGATTTGTTCGATCTTTTTTACTCTTCCGCCTGATATCCACGCCGAGTTCTGTCCGTTCCCCGCTTCATGTCTTAAATGTAGCCTGCAGCTAGCTGGCTCTACGAATACATATATCCACGTACTTGTATCCGTACGGGTCTCCCAAGCAGCTCCTGTCCGGTGCACGAAGGACCAGACTGCAGGCCGATACCCCCCGCGAGATGCTGCAATTCTCTCGAGTACCTAACCCTGCTTCCATCTGGTCTGGTCTGGCCTTTTGGTCTCGTCTGTCTCTCTCCTGCTCCGCAGTGACCCACACTCCCGGCTCCGCGAGCTGCATCTAATCTGCATTCTCGCATCGGCCAGCAGGAAAAGTACATGCGTACATCCAGCGCAACCTCTTTACCTTTGCTCACGTTGAAGCTTGTGTACTCTGTCAACGCACTACAGCGGCATCAGATGCAAGTTTCTACCTTGGCGACCGTGGCGCGCTGTCTTTCCTTCACCACCCGCGAATGAAGCACACGCAAGGGCACACCCCTGATCCCGGCTGGTAATCTCTGGTCGTGGTCTTGCTGCTGGAGGAGCAAAGTTGTTGTTGGGCAGTCCGTAGATCCAACTCATCGAGCCGCAGTGAATCAGATACGGTTCCCAGAAGTTGGGAGGGCGGCGTCCCTTCTTCGCAGCTTCGGTTTCGGTGTCTGCCAGCCAACGGTACGGCAATTACCATCGAGGCTCTTTGAGCAATACTTTGGATTCGGGCGCCTTGAATAAGGTAGCTCGCCTGCCCTGGCTACATGGCCATCCGCCCTTTTTGCCATTCTTCTATCTGCCCTCTGCCCTTCTGGCCTGCCCTGCTTTAACTAAGGTTACCCGAATCTCGAGGTACCTTGGGATTTGGTGTCATTGCAACATCAACGTCTCTCCCTGTCGTGCCTGCGGCCTGCCGTGGGAGGCCAATCGCAAATGGCCGTCCCATTCCAAAAGAGCAGAAATTGGCCCTAAAAGAGACTCAGACTCGCCGCACCCATCATTCTCTGGCTGTTTATTATCTGGGACGACGCCTCGTTGCAGTTTCCTCTTGAGCTCGCGCGCATTCTTCTGCCTGCATCGTCCGCACATTTACCTTTCTCTCCCATTCTTCTTGGGTCGTCTCTCCTTCTCCTTCTTTTCCTGTTCTCTCTGTCTTCGGCCTTCTGCTCCGCCGGACATCGCCCATCCTCTACACAGGTTTCTTCTGCGTGAGGACGAGACCGGACGAGACTGGAGAGCAGCAAGCAAGCGTCAATACCGAGCAAAGTAATTACACACGCATACTCACTCATATTCACGCTCACACGTACATCACACGTTGCTGCCGAGGTACCTACGTGCGGCCCAACCGGAAGATACGCACACACGCGACAGACTGCATACACCTTTCGTCCCGACTTTTCGACGTTTCGAACCCCGGGGATTCTATTCTGTACATGTCACATCGCCGCATAACGCCTACTCTTTTTTTGGTCCCGGCCACGCTCGACCACCCGGGCGTCGACGTCGACTGAGCTCGCAGTTGGACGGTGCCCTCCAGAGTCATTCATTGTCGGTCACTCAGTGGACGGAGCTTCTCCAAACAGGAACAGAACTGGACTTGTTCGTTTGCGTTATCGATATCCGTACAGTCAGTCACACCGGTGGGACAGGCGGCCGGTACCTTTGGACGCCCCAGCCCAGCCCAGCTCAGCTCAGCCCGTACAATCGACAGGGTACTTGACCTCTCCTCATCTGGCACTTGGCCCCAGCCCGGCTGTCAAGACTACCTTTGGTACCTGGCCAGACGCACGCATAAACCGTCCAGTCAACGCTGCAAACGAACATTAGCTTTTTTGTCAAGCCGCACATCACATCATTTGGAGACGAACGCTCTCGCTCGCTCGCTCGCCCGCACGCACAAGCCAAAGACAGTTTTCCCCATTTGCGCTGCCAAAGGGCCGATCTGTCGTCACCATCCATTCGTCCATTCGCCTTGCCCCGGAACAGTCAGTCTGTCTGTCTGTCAACCGCCGGGTACAGTACCTATTTTCATAGACCAGAAGAAACAGAAACAGAAACGAAAGACAGAAGAGGGGAAGAAAGACAGAACAAAACAGGCAAAAGAAGGCAGCTATCTGATAGTTGGGTTGGGAATTTGCCCTCTTCTCCAGCTCCAGAGGCGAGGCAAATAGCACACACACACACACACACACAGCACAACAGCACAGGATCTGGGTAAGTGTGATTCTTCAGATTGTCATGTGTTTGACAGACTGCGCAAACTGTCTTTCCCCTTGCCTTTTGGCTTCTCTGCCTGGCCGTCCGCTATTCGTCTGCCTGCGCTGCGCTATCTTGTGCTTGGTTGGCCCTTCATGTCATTCACTCAACAGACCTCCTCCTCGTCCATTTCCTGTCCTTCGGTTTTCCTTCTTCATCCTCTCCGCCATCTGTTTCTTGCTTCCCGGCTGTCCATCACCGGCTGGCCGTCTTTTCCATCCCTCGCATCGTGCACCACCACTGCCACACACACACCCCCCGTCCCGTCTGCCACCCATCAATCAGGGCAGCCATCCATCCTCCCGTCCAGCGTCCGTTCACTTGGCTCCATCCTTCAGGCTCAGGGCCCCCCTACTAGTCGGTAGGTACCTGACCCAGAGGGAAGAAAGAGTTACGGTGGACTGGGAACTGGGAGTATTGAGCAGGTAAACTACAACTTCAAGTTTCTCCCGTGCCCGTCTCCAACACCAATGCACCCCCGGTCCCGTATCCTTGAAAGCACTGGACACTGGAGACACCCAAGACGAGCGAGCTCCATGTCAGCTCCCCCCTTCAAACTCGGCGCCCACCCCCTCAGGTCTCCTCGTCCCCTCCTCAGTCCCCTCCCTCCGCTTCCGCTCCCCTTCCCCTCGTAGGGGACTAGCCTCTCGGGTACACCACAGACAAACCTAAGAGATGGCCTAAGGAGACAGACAGACGGACCTTCCTGGCAGGTGTGGCAGCAGTTAGCTCCACTTGGAACGAAGTGGCATCTGGTCCAGTGCGCCCAGAAGTTGAACAAGTGCCAGACGAAGACGGGGACGTGGACGGGGACCCAGAAACAGACCCAGAAGCCAGACCACGACCAGGAGTCGAGGAGTCGAGGAGTCGAGTCTCCAAGTCCCAAGTCCCAAGTCAAGTCCACCAAGAAAGGAACAAGGGTGGTGGTGTCCTCCATATTGGATTGCGCAAAAAAATCTCCTACAAAGTTATTAGCTGCCCGCTCCCGTCTTGTCTTTTGCCCCAGCTGGCAGCTGGCGCTCCATCCATCATCGACCTAATCAGCCTTACCGCGACGCTTTATTCTCACTCTTGTCGTCGTCGTCGTTGCCGTCGTCCTTCTTTTTCCTCTTCCCCTCTCGTCATCATCCTCCATCCTCATCGTCACATACGCATTCTCGTCTATATCCCCCTTTCCCACCCTCATCTGTGCATATTCCGCGCCTCTCACATACCGAATCCACATCCATTTTCTTTCTTTCAAGGTACTTTGCCTCTCATCATCTCACCTGCGTTGCGTTCGTTGCCTTACCTTAGCTGGGTACACACTCTCACTCTCGTGCTCACACGCTACATAACCAAATCCTCTCCACCCTTGTCATTCTCCCTCTCGCTCACCTTTTTCTCTTTCGCTCTCTTCTCCCTCCCTCTCGACATCTTGTCTTGTTCAGCTGTTCGCCCCCAACAAACCCCCGACAGATTTGCGTTGCGCTCGGCATTTCGCCCCCAGTTCGATACAACAAGTCTTTTTTTTGCTGACGCTGGCGTGCTCCGTTCTTTTAGTTCGCGCCATAGAGAATTCCTGGAGAAAGTCACTGTCGCAAGAAAAAAGTTCACACCTACGTCGTATATAATTCAACAGCGGAAAACCCAAAAAGCCTCGTGTCACGCACAAGCAGCAGCAAACGGGCACAAATTCACCTCTGCAGCCACAGAGACAAAATAACCCCTCATAGACGGCCAATACAAACGAAACGACCTTTTCGTCCGCCGCCAAACGCACACAAACATCCACTTTCCTGCACCTTTTGTGTCGCCTTGCGTCCAGACAAGAAACGAACCGAACCGCCCACCGCCGAAAACCCGCCGCCCGCGATCCCATATTTCGCATCCGACGCCCGAAAAACTCTCCCTCCTACATCTCCGACCCCGACCGCTGCGCTGCGCGAACCGGTTTGCCCTGCAGCAGAGATCGCCCGCCCTCGAACATGACCACTACCGTAAGTTGCTTCTTCTTTTACTCCACGTGAGGTCCGAAGGGAAGGGGGATGGACTCCCGGTTGCGACGATGCGAGCGCGCGGCCGTGTGTCTCAAGACTGCGCCTAACTAGCGCCATCATGGCTCTTGGCTCGAGTCGCCAATTCGGCGCTCGGAACTTCGCCTAGACCTGGCAGGTTGCTCAAAAAAAGCTTCCCTCGCGCTTTCCATCGTCGCTCCTACCTTGCTCGTCTTCTTAGGCCTCCGTCCCCATGGCTGCCACCTCGCTAACCTGCCACGTTCGACAGGCTCGGCCAGGTCGCTTCACGACCTTCTCATCAATGGCGAACGGACGAGACGACAAGTCGGCCCCCGCCGCCGCCGCCCCAGGCTTCGGTACCACCGCCGCCCTGTATTCGTCGCAAGGAAACATTTGGAACTCGTCGTTTGCTGCAGCAGGCAAGAGAGACGGCGCCAATGCCAGAGGTATGTCCGCGATGGGACCTGGGTTGACGTCGTGTGACACAGAGCTGACACTACTCCGTGCAGGCGCCGCTGAAGAAGCATTCACCACCCAGCCATCGGGCTCCGGTGCCCTCGCTGCGAACTCAGAGGCCGATCACTGGACGACTCAAAGTCCCTGGAACCAGGACGGCGCCCAGCCGCGATCCGCTTCCGGCAGCACATCCCCCAACCGCACCCGCGACAGCTTGCACAACACCTCCTCGTTTTTCGAAAACTCTGCTATCGGACAAGGACGGAACTACATCAACGGCAGGCCAAAGTCGTACCTGGAGGATGACAAGGAGAATGCCAGCTTCGGCGCCAGCTACAACAGCCCCTTTGACGGCACGTACGCCCGGCAGGAGAAGCGTGGCTCGAAAGACCCTGCGTTCCTGAACTTGGGTGTGGTTGGTGCTCCCTCGAGAGACAGCAGCATTCCTCCCTCGCGTCAGTCTGACGATTCGCACCACTCGCCCCCTGCCTTCCGAGACACATTTGGCGGTTATGGCCACACTCCCAGCAATTCAATTGCCTCGACTCGTCCCATGCCCGCCCACTCGTCCTCTTTCCCTTCCCAAACCGCCAACAACCGAGCTTTCATAGCCAACAACAGGCAGATGGACGACTCGGACCTTGGCCATTCCTTCAAGAAGTCCATGACCCTGGACGAGGCCACCAACATCACCCAGTCCATCGGCGGTGGCGCACCTGGCTTTCAGTTCAACCCGGGGTCTCAGCCCTGGAGGGCCGATGTCAACGGCGGGTTCCCGGATGCCTACGCTGAAGCCGTGGCACAGGCACAGCAGTACAAGCGTGGTTCTATCGCCAGCATTTCCGGCGCTCCTGGTCCGTACCGCGCCGTCACCAGTCCCAAGACATTCACCCCTCAGTCATCCGATCCCTGGAGACCGTCGTCCCGCGACATGAGAATGGTCTCAGACGGTGACCGCCGGACTCCCGTACAGCCTTTCATGCAGGCTCAAGCACCTGCCTACTTCCCTCCCGCTTCGTACTACAACCCTGGCTTTACCGCGCAGTACCCTCAGTTCATCGACCCCTATGGTAGACCTCCTATTCCCTTGCCCGGCTACGGCCTGCACATGGCCCCGTACTCCATTCCGGGAGTCATGCCCATCCGCCCAAGCAAGGACCAGGACCCCGGGAAGGGCGTTCGCAGCATGCTCCTGGAGGAGTTCAGGTCCAGCTCCAAGTCCAACAAGCGGTACGAGCTCAAGGACATCTACAGCCACGTCGTCGAGTTCAGCGGCGACCAGCACGGATCGAGGTTCATTCAGCAGAAGCTCGAGACAGCCAACAGCGATGAAAAGGACCAAGTTTTCCGTGAGATCGAGCCCAACGCCATTCAGTTGATGAAGGACGTCTTCGGCAACTACGTCATCCAGAAGTTTTTCGAGCATGGCAACCAGGTCCAGAAGAAGGTCTTGGCGTCGCAGATGAAGGGCAAGGTTGTTGATCTCTCGATGCAGATGTACGCCTGCAGAGTCGTTCAAAAGGTATGTTGTCTCCACGTTGCGTCTTTGATCTGCTGGCTAACATGATACAGGCTCTGGAGCACATTCTCGTTGAGCAGCAGGCTGAGCTGGTCAAGGAACTCGAGCCTGAGATCCTTCGGGTCGTCAAGGACCAGAACGGCAACCACGTTGTGCAGAAGATCATTGAGCTCGTTCCCCGCCACTACATTGACTTCATCATGGACTCCTTCCGCGGTCAAGTAAGCGGGTTGGCTTCGCACATGTACGCCTGCAGAGTCATTCAGCGCATGCTTGAGCACGGCACCGAGCAGGACAAGGAGACGATTCTGGCCGAACTCCACAACTCGACCCAGAGCCTCATCACCGATCAGTACGGCAACTACGTCGTGCAGCACATCATTGAGCACGGCAAGCCCGAGGACAAGTCCAGAATCATCCAACTGGTCATTTCTCAGCTGGTCACCTTGTCTAAGCACAAGTTCGCTTCGAACGTGGTCGAGAAGTGCATCCAGTTTGGCACTGCCGAGGAGCGCAAGGGCATCCGTGAGCAGATCACCTCGCAGGCCAGCGACGGTAACAGTTCGCTCCAGTTGATGATGAAGGACCAGTACGGCAACTACGTCATTCAGAAACTCCTGAACCAGCTCGAGGGCTCTGAGCGGGACGCGTTTATTGAGGAGATGCGCCCTCAATTTCTCCTCCTCCGCAAGACCAGCACCAGTCGCCAGCTCGCTGCCATCGACCGCCTCATGCACGCCACCGAGAACCCGGCGTCCAAGTCTGGAGGCTCTCAGGCAGACTCGACCGCGCCCACCCCGGTGCTGACGATGGAGCCAAACAGCCCTCAGAGCAGCAGCCCCCCGAGCACGAACGCCAGCGCCATTGGCGAGGTTACGGACGATGACAACAAGTCCGGAGTGCCCGGAGGCGTGAGCCTCAAGGTGCAGTTGGAAGAAGCCTAAACGCGATTGGCACATGAACATTCTTTCGATACGACGGCGTCACGGTTGCTTCGAGGTATTACGGACATGCATCACGACACGACACGGACTTGAGGACGCCGTGGGTACTTACCAAACGCCAGATCTTGGCCGGTCTTATGTTTCGCATACGATCTGGATATTCTCCACCCTAATCACTTGTTTTTACATCCTTACTACCGCACCCCGGATATTCAAAACCTACACATACAAGGCTGGCATGGTCACAAACGGTAGAAAAATTGCGTGGGCAAATACTCTTGGGGGAGCATCCACCACGGACATGAAATCAGCTGCTTTTGCACGTCACTTTGGTGTTATCGCCTTTCCCCCCAGTTCTGTTTTATTCTTTTCCTACCCAATAATGCCCCAAGTTCCTATCTGATGATATTCTTCACTTCCGGATCATGATTCTGTTAAGAAACGGAGACGCATGGGGGCACCGGATTCAAGGGGGTCCAAAATGGCCGAGACATACATACCAAGACTTTGGGGAACTGGTGAAAAGGGGGCGAAAGCAACTATTCAAAAAAGGAGCACTTATTGTTTTTTTTTCATCGGGGAACGGGCAGCTCATTTGGGGGCGAGGTTGAAATTTTTGTCTTCTTGTATTTTATTGGAATAGTTATGTCTATGTGATACCAGTCTTAGTCTGACGTACGGTAATAGACCTGTCAATAGAGCTGAGTATGGAATCATCAGTCCAAGATGAACAGCTAAACTTCGTGAAAATCAGACGGCGGTCGGGTCCTGGAATCGCAGGGAGAGCCAGAGGCAGGTGAATGTGAGGGAGCACCCCGGATATCCGTTGCAGCTGGAATGCATGTCCGGTGAAGTCGTGAATAACGAGCTGCAATGCAAGCTCCTGTCAATTCCTGTCAGCTCAAGTGCAAACCTGCCCGATTCGGAGCGGGACCGCATTAGCTAAGCTGTTCCAAGGGTCCCAGCCATTACATCATGGCGCCGACGTTAGCCGGTTTGACAAGCACTAACCACGGGCTACCGCCTTGGCCTGGGCTCCTCCACCCTCCGACTGGCCCTCCGACGAACCCCTGTCCCGCCCCCACGTGTCAACTATCCCGCCGTAATTATCGTGGGAAATTGGGGGGGAAAGGTGTGGTGCGGGCGGCTGTCACATCCGAACACCCTTATTTCCAGCTCTTCCCAAAACCTCCCTTCTTCAAACCACCAGATGCAACCATGTCGTCCACCACGAGATTGACATTCTTGTACCCGCACCTCTACCGCACCCTCCGCGCATCGGAAGCGAGAACGGCGACCGCGACGACGAGCGCACAGAAAACATGCCACCGCCGCCGCCACGGCGGACGCCCCGCCGACGTTCGGAGCAGCAGCACCAACACCACCACCACTAGGGGCTACGCCGCCTTCGCGCCGACCCCCGAGGCCCGCCAGTCCGGCTTCGCGCCGCGGCACGGCAAGGGCATCGAGCCGCTGACCATCGAGAGCGAGAAGGCGCGCAAGACGGCGCCGGCGGCGGAGATGGAGGCGGCCGCGCAACGGGCCACTGCCGCGGCGGCGGCGGCCGCGTCCTCGGTTACGAACCCGAAGACCGCCGGGGGTGTTTCCGAGGCTCAGGGGCAGGTTCAGGGGCAGCAGTCGCAGCAACAACAACCTCAACAACAACAATCTGAACAACAACAACAGCAGCAGCAGCAGACGCAGCCGCAGCAACAACAACAGACAGAGGACCCGGAGGCCGAGGCCGCGAAGCAGGAGGCGCGGGACCAGGCCAAGAAGAGCGGGCCGCTGGAGGCGATACTGCACATGGGGCCGCCGGAGGAGGTCGCGAAGCAGCACCCGCACATGGAGACGCCGCCGTACGTGCACCACTTCGACAGCTTCTCGCTGGTGAAGCAGCTCGGGGGCGGGGGGTACACGGAGGAGCAGGCGATCACGGCGATGAAGGCGATCCGGGCGATCCTGGCGCATAATCTGGACGTTGCGCAGGAGAGTCTTGTTAGTAAGAGCGATGTTGAGAATGTGAGTCCTTCCGAGGGAATGTTGCTGTGTGAGGATGCTGACTGTGACGAAACTAGGAAACCTACCTCTTCAGGGCGGCGTGCTCTGAGCTCAGCGCCGAGGTGAAGAATAACCAGAAGCTGGCGGACGAGGAGATGAGGCAGAAGAGGACGTTGCTGCAGCACGAGGTGGATATCCTTACGCAGTCGCTGAACCAAGAGCTTCTGACGCTGAATGACAACGTCCGGGGGATGTTCAACGACCGTAAGATGGCGGTTCGAGAGGAGCAGAAGGCTGGTGAGAGTGTCGTAAGTTGCCCTGTCGTCTCTTTTCTCTTTCTTACCCTTCATTGGCCTCGATATCCATCGTCTCGAGGAGTGAGATGCTGACGACGCCAGATCCAACAAATCAACTACAAGATCAGCCTCCACCTCAGCAGCGACGCCAAGTCGGAGATCGAGGGCCTGCGGTGGATCCTCATCCGGCGGTCCGTCATCGGGATCCTGTTCATGGCGGTCCTGACGTTGGGAACGCTGCGGTACGGCACGTACGTCTCGCATAACAAGCAGAAGGAGGCGGAGAAGATCAAGAAGCAGGCCGAGATGATCAAGAAGAGCCACGGGAAGAGGGATCATAGCTCTGCGCCTGACGCGGCCGAGATTCTGGCGGCCAACTGAGGAGGGGATGCTAAGGAAGGCGACGGGGTTGCGGAAGCGGGAAGGAAAGAGGAATAGAAGCCATGCGAGTCACGTGTGAGGATTCGAAGTTGAGTGAGGACTGGGGGAGTGAGGGTAAGCACTGATGTCAGTGAGGATTAGAGGCAGGATTGGCTGGTTGGGATGATACCCCATAGACGTCGAACAGATTCTTGGTTGGCATAGACTAAGGCCGTGACGCTCGGAGCAAATAGTCTTCGTAGCAGATATAAGTTGTTCAATTCTGGATTTAAGGATTCTATCATTTGGAGTCATTCGTGGATATTCAATCCATTGTGTGCATTTGAGAGTTATATGTGTGTATATTTGAATCCTTCGTGTGTATCTGAGTCGCTGATCTAATGTCTTTGAACTGTTTGGGCTTAAGATACCTCAATTATGTACATACTGAAGCATTTCCAACCATCACGCATCCCCCTGACAATGTGTCACCGGCCGCAGCCGCATCGGTAGCGAGGTACGTATTACAGCGTTTTGTGCGTGGCAAGCGTCGAGATTTGACCTCATATAGAGATCAGGCCGCGAGCAATGCGGGGGAGCTATATAGTACGAAAAGCCATAAATGATTGACAGCGACCATAAATAACAAGTATAATCCACGGATAGGATGATTGCAATGGTTATGTTATACTCTTTCACATTCAAATTCTCATTTCCAAACCCTAAATCTCATACCAATCCTTGGTGAAGGAAGTCCCAATGACCCTATGACTGAGTCGTCTCATCCACCATGGCGAGTTGCGCTTCCTCATCTCGACGAAGATGTGCCGACCCTGCCTCTGCCTGCACGTCTACATTCTCCACAAAATCGAACCTCAATAGGCACATAAAGTCAAAGCATGGCCCTAAGTCTCAGACATTTTGTCAAAAAGAGATCCCAAATAATCCTTGGAGGCATAAGAAGACTTGCAAGGAGTGCGAGAGCCGCAGCGATCCCCAAGCTGCATCTGGATCGCCCACCAAGTCAGAGGGCCACGATAAGAACATCCAGTCTACCCCTCTGTCATACGAGGAGGTCCAAGACAGCGAGCCCACGCACCAAGACTTCATGTTATTCGAAGGAGAAGACTTCTATGGCATGTTTCTATTGGGTCAAGAGGACTTGTTTCCTCTCCAGGGTAGCGAGTCTTAGTCACGATGCTCCAGCTCATTCGTAAGTAAGGGCGTCCACTCTCATGCAGCATGATCGTATACTCTATGTAGAGATAGCTGACACAACAAGTGTCCAAGTACCGGGACAGGAGCGCAGCCTCGAAGATGGTCGAATGCGCAAACATCAAGCGCTTGGCGTGAACGGCTATGTTTCCATACTTCATACCACGGAGAAGCTAAGTTTAAATTGACGAGAGGAAATTCATGATGAACCGGATGTACTCAGAAATAGATACCCTTTTTTGGCGAAGGAGAATAAGCAAGGCGCATACTGAAGAGGTTGAGTGTTCGTACCTGCGGGTTCCGGTATAATTGGGATTCCATTGCGATCATTGTCAATGCACAGCAATTCAGGTTTTGAACACAACTCAAGAACATGTTGAACAGGCGAAACATCCTGAGGCTGAAAATGATGTTTGAAATCTGGTTAATTTGAGATATTTGACCCAACGTAGAAAAGATCGAGTGCGGCTCTATTGCCCTATACTTAGTAGACAGTCGTGAAGTGAGGCCGAAGTGAAGGGTGAGGAGTGAGGAGCGAGGAGCGAGGAGCTGAGGTACGTACCAGCAACGGGAGACGCACACTTCATCGGGCCAACCAAACCAAAGAGAATATCTTGCCTACAAGAGGAGCGAGGAGCGGAGGCGTAAAAATGCGGCTGTAAGAAAGACAGCTATTGAAGACAACAAGTAGGGAAACAGCTTGAGCTGGCTGGCATGATACCTAATAGAGATACAGGTTTCTGCGATTGCAGTTCTTTAACGAGGTCTTCGTCGACTGTCACCATCATCTTGATGTGAATAGCGCCTGTTGCATCGAATTCGGGTGCGAAACAGATCGCTGTTTGGATTCGGCATCTGTAGTCAGCGCGCGTATTGGGCTTGCCTTCGCGTGATAGTTTTGCTGTTATTGCGGGATCAGTCGATGGCGAAGGCTCACTAATGAAGAGATTTGCCTAGACAACGATGCACGAACGATGATGTTTTCCCTCCCAGAACTGAATTTGCCGATGTAAACACATGAATCAATGTGAGCGGGCACAGCAGTTTATTAGGCTTCGTAAATAGTCATTCTCATGCCCCTTTTCAGCCATGTCATCAATCTGAAAATCAGGCTCATCAGATGTCCGGTCTTCTCGCCGTCATCTCTACTACATATCGTTGTTCAATCGATTTTCTGCCATTGCAGCACCTGGAGAACCTCGCGGCGTCGTTGGGACACCTTCTTTTCCAATCCTTTTTCATCTCCTCTTCCGCCCCCCTTAGATACTCCCTTCCCCGGCTGCATGCTGCACTGACCTGACCTGACCTGGTCTGGGGCCCGACCTGACCTGACCGTACCTACCTACCTACTAACCGACCGTATTTCTTGCCCCCCCCTCCTTCTCGAAGTTTGCTCCAAAATCCCAAATGTGTTTTCTTTTGCAATGACTATTCTTCATATTCCGCCTTACTGGAAGCTTTTTCTTCAGTTCGTTTTCATTTTGCAATATTTGTTCAACAAGAGATTGATCACTATGCCAATGCGTTGACTTTGGCTTTCTTGATCCCCAACACCAACCATAGCAATGGCAAACAAGACATCTCAGGCCAAGCTCAACTGCACTGAGCCCAATTGTTCTGCCACCTTCACAACCAAATCGAATCTTACCAGGCATATCAAAGCAGTGCATGGTCAAAAGTCTCGGATGGCCTGCCAAAAAAGATTATCTAACCAACCGTGGAATATCAAACGACACGTGGAAAGCTGCGATGAATGCAAGAGACACACTCATCGCGCTGCCTCTGATGATGGTCTCAATGGCGAGGATAACAAGAATAACACCAATGGCAACACCAACGACAAGATGAACGACACTATCGACGACAACACCAATGGCAGCATCGTTGCAGACATAGACATGGTGTGGTTTGAAGAGTCCTTACCCGGCTCGTACATGGACCTATCCGACTCTTTCCCTGCAGACTTCGACTTCAGCGCATGCGCATGCATCTCCATGCCGACCCCGGGCAACTCACAAGTTGGCGAGGTGGAACTATTGGCCGGTTGCGACCAGATGCTCGCAGAGATCTTTTAGGTGTGCTCGAGAAATCTTCAAGTTGTTCTTGAGCTGACGGCCCTGGCAGATCAGAAGTTAACGACGTCGTGGACGATTGAATAATACGTTAAGTTGCGATGCATGGAAGGAACTCGGTTCACAGAGTTTTTGGGCAGTAAAGCTCCTTTCTAGTGGTACATGTAATGAAAGATTGTTGCTTGGAATGATTGGAACAATATACCGGAACTTCAAATATAAATAATTCTTTGCGTTGAGAAAACATCTTCTGTTCGATCATTTCACCCGACATCATGTAGATGTCAAAGGTTCGCTGTTAGGGTACGTAGTTTCGGTACACTGGCCAGGGTGGCCCTGTATGCTTAGGGGACGGACCGGCACGCCCAAGTCTACTTGCGGTGATCAGCTTCAACCTCTCCGAACGGCTGATGTAGGGTTATTGCGACTTGCGGCAGCAAACTGAATATCTGCAGTCCATGTCATTAATGGAAGCGGACCTTTTTGGTGTTGCCTACTCACGGCCAAAGCTGCTCTACCTACCTTACCTAGCTAAGGTACCTACACAGCCTAACGGTCTGCAGAAGAACAGCTAAAGGTGCTGCGTGCCATGCGCTAGTGCCCTCCCTATTGGTAGTCACATCATACCTTACCTAGGTAGGTGCCGACATTTAATCAGCATTTGTTGTACAAATATGCTGTTGACGAGCTCTATTATTCTGTCAGAAGAATGAGCAAAGGGGATATCATCAAGTTATAGTCAAACGCTTGGGAACCCGACCTGACCGGTCGGCTCCGACATGTCCCACCATTGCGCGGGACCTGGCAACCTACAGTTTTCCTCGCGGCGGCGGCAGCTAATGCCCGTATTGCCCCGGCCGGGGGACCTCCTAATTTGCACCACCGGTTCCGACCGTGAACCGAAGCCCCCAAATCTCTGTGCTCTTCCACTGCCCGCGTTGCCCCTCCCGGAGCAAATCTCCGCTTTCGAGTACCTCGGCCGCCAGTGCCCTCAACTTTGACCTACTCAGTCTTGTTTGCTGGATCTTACGACCTCTCTTGGCCCTAACTACTGACACTGTTCTCATTACTTCTCCAAGAGTTCAACATGGACATACGCCGGAGTTCATAGTGTATCTAGGTTTTGCGTACGGTTCATGAGCTGCGGTTTTGATATGGCATCGTCACTTGCGGGCAACCGTAATAGCAGCAGAGTCCTCACTTATCGTTGTCCAAATATTACGAACACGATGTAAAACGTCTGATGCGACTGAGATTCTAGCAGCTAACTAAGCTAGCTTTGTGTGCCTGCTTCTGAGCAAAAGGGAAGAAGAGGGGAGTAAGGGCGTGAGAAGGCGTCGAGGATAACGGATTGTGATTTATGAGGAGCAGCGCTTAAAGAAAGAGCGATTAAAGAATAGAAGAGAGACACGGTTGGCTGGCTAGAATGATACCTTATAGAATTCGGGCATGCTCTGCAATTGACATAGAATACCAGAATAATGGAATCAATTTGATCTCTTAACTAATCAATTGTGCAAAAGTAGACGGTTTTCAAATCGGTTTCATGCGCTAAGACAAGGCAAACATGTTGTTCAATCGAAGCTTCGACATGGGTGTAGGATTCGATGGCCAGTACCAGCCCGACCAGCAACAAACGCTGTCAAGTCAACCCATGAGGCAGCGTCACGGTAACATTGACCGAACAATTGTGTGGTCCAGCTCTGGGCTCTGTTCTGCCCATGCCTTACATGACCAGATTGGAACGTTCGTGGCGTTCCTCAAGAAGAAAAGTCGAGGATCTAATACGACCCCTTAAAGTCCGTATAGACAGAAAACTCTCCCTCGCCTCAGCCTTATCCAGAAAAATCATTCACCCTTGTAATAGTTCAGAGCGTAAAATCGTCATTTGAAGCAGCACGTTGTCCCGCCCAATGCACTTACAGGATCGAAGTCACGCAAATTTGCTACGGATGAATGGCGCGCCTGCCTCATACTCGCCTTTTGCACCCAACGCTTGCTTGTTGCATCGTTATGATGCGTTTACCTGGGTTATCGACTGCATGGTCTTCAGACGCCCTGCCATCCCATATGTGGTATAACCGTTCCAGTCTGTCAGAATTCTTACCTTTGACTACCTTGTGGGAGCTGTTTTGCTAGAAATCACCTCTAGGCCGTGTAAAAGAGCCCTCTGTGCGGCAAAGAGGGACTTACACGGCCCATTCGTACGGCGCGCATCATAGCAGAGCCCTCATGCGCAGAGGGCTCTTATACCACGTTGAGGGCTTCCTGATAAGCAGACTGCAACCAGAACACCAGACATTCTTGCCAATAACTTGTAGCTCGAAAGGGCATCTTGTGGCTGAGGGTTGCCCAATGGGTCCTTCGCGGTGTCGAACGAGCGGCCAGCATCTGAGATCTCGAATCCAGCAAAGCAAATCAAGCCGGTGAGAGACAAGGAAAAGAGGAGCCAGCGGGAATCTAGCTTTTGACACCCACATGTCTTATCCAGCTTACCTCTTTGAGTTGCTTGCAGCTGAGTGTCGAGGTCAACTAGGTATCTCTGCAGCAAAACCACGGCCGAAAAGAGGAACATGGAGATTCCAGACCGTGTGGCCGGTACGTCACAGGGCAGAAACCATGCACGTCGCCCCTTTTGGAGCGATGGAAGTGCTTCAGTGCATAACCTCATCCCATCCAAAAGCGGCGACGTGCATGGTTTCTGCCCTGCATAACCTCACCACCCCACCCCTCGAAGCGTGGTGGCCTTTGGAGGCTCCGGGCTCCCGTAGGCTCCCGTTGTCATCCAACCTGCCCGGCAAGACATCCACACCCTCCTCCCGCCTGCAGGCTTGACAGATCGGCAGCCGTCTCAAAAAGCCCCTCTAAAGCCTCAAAAGTTGATACTCAATAACTCCAGAGACCCTCGCTGCGCAATCACTATATATACCACATGACAATGTCCTGGAAAGCCTTATCATGCTTTATTTTTATATTCACCGCATTACTTACTCGCCGATCACCGACCTGGTGTCTTGTCGACATATCAATTGATTGAACGGCCGTCACCCTCTCGCTTCCCATCCATCACGCTACTTCGTCATGGCCCACAACACGTCTCGGTCCGGGCTGATTTGCCCTGAACCTTGCTGCGGGTCAACGTATTCCACCAAGTCGAACCTCAATAGACATATCAAATCTAAGCATGGCCCGAGGGTTTGGATGGCCTGCCAGAAGGAATTGCCAAATCAGACTTGGAACGTCAAGCGGCACATGCGGACTTGCGATGAATGCAAGAAACACGAGAATCCTCAAGTCACGTCGAGTCCGTCCGTCCAGTCAGAGAGCAACAACAGCGCCATCCTCCCAATGCTGAACGATGTTCCTCAGGACGCTCTAGTCATGAACCAATTCGATGATATCGCTGAAGATCAAGATCTCTACGACTTGTTCCAATGGAACCCGGAAGACTTCAATTATCCCCAGAGTCGCGAGGACAAGGCCTGAAACTTCGGCCCAATCACGAGTTCGCCTGAGAGTAAGCACGTCAAGTCTAACGTGTACTGCGTTATCTAATACTGGGTGCAGAAAGTACACACCGTCGAGATCCAACAGTGGAGCACGCGCACAGGATGAACATTTAATCAGAAACGGCGTTGCGACATTCATATGGTCTTCCTTAATGAAGACGACTTCTGGATCAGTCGTTCGAATTTATTCACAAGAATACATCTTTATCCAACAGACTTGCCTGCATCTATGTTTGAGCCAATTGCTGGGCACCTTTCGTCCGACCTACTGCATATGAAGCCGCCGATATCCACTTTCACCCGAGACTTTTACCCAAAACGCACGGAGCAACGGCCCGGCCCGGAGGTTCCCAAGGCATTTTCTCCACCCGAATGACGGCAGTGCGGCGGCCGAGACCCACTTACCTCCGGCGTTCGCGCTCTCCATGTCCGCTAGCGTAATCTTCGTGAGCCACCGTCCTTCAATTGCGCGTATTTCTGCCTAGTTGCACATGGAGTAGTATCGCATCTTCTCGTCTGCAACACTTTTCGCCAAATACCGCTTTTGTATGTGGCAGTACGGCTGCTGACCTAGTTTCGCACCGAAAGAATCGAGAAATCTTCTCCCTTCATCGCCGATGAGCCAGAGGGTACCATCCGCCAACTCTACTTCGTCTTGGGGATTGCATACTTCATCCAATGTTGAGCTCGTCCTCATCTCACAAGGACATTGCCCTTTTCCCGCTATTCGCTCCGATCCTACCTGTCTAGAAGCTGGGCGGTAGCCTGGAATGCGAAAACTACCGAGATAATAAGCGTTGTCGCAATTTTGTAGAAAAGTCTCAAGATTAGGAGAATAATGCTAGCCCGGAAATATTAGAACAATTGAACGTATCACGATATGCGAAGGGATGTGATCTTCTGACGCGCCTAGGCATCATGTTGTAATAGCACTGTCAAATTGACGGCGCCATTAAGACCAGCTGATTTACCTTGTGTCCTACTTGCGGCTCGTGTATTGATGCGGTGTATCGCATAAACAGCGCGCATCCATGCAGTTCGCAATGAGCCGCAGTGACAACTAATCAATGAACCGTGTGTGCGCACATTCAAGACTTTGGCGGCATCTTCAGTGCTACCTCTAAGCACGGGACTCCGTTTACCGAACGTATGGAGGATCTAGCTAGTATGGTTAATCTTGCTTCCGACGGCCACCGACGACGGCTGAAGGCAAGTTGTAGTTACTAGAGTGCCGTTTGGTATCACTCGACCAAGGCGCGTCTGCAGCCAGTTGCAAGTAAGATACTTTGGAAAAAATGAACAACGCCCGCAGAGAAAAGAATTGAGGTAGTGCCAACTCTGCCTGTGTCGCGCCGTGTCTAACCTCCACCTTACTCCTTTGCTTTCATCGACGTAAACATCCATAATCCTCATCTGTGGCTAAGGTATAGCAGGAAGGTTGAAACCGACGCTGAAATTGACTTATAAGTCTCCCAGTTGCCGCTCATTCTGTACTTTTTTATCAGTACTAGAAATATCTGTCCCAACATTCAATATCGTCATCTTGTCAGTGATTGTACTACTGCTTCTCGTATTCGGTCGCCATGGCTTGCCGCACCTCTCCTTCGGATCTGACTTGCAATGAGCCTGGCTGCGCATCAGCCCCGTTTTCCACCAAGACCAACCTCAATAGACATATAAAGGCAAAGCATGGCCCTAAAGCAGTTACTACATGTGGAAAAGAGCTATCGAACCAACCTTGGAACGTTAAGCGCCACCAGGCTGCGTGTAACCTTTGTCAGGCAAAGTCCGATGGCAAATCCGCTTCTAGTAGCCATACCAATCAGAAATGCAACAGTAATATCAGCCCTTCATCAGCCAAAACTCTTCGTCAAGACAGTCAAGACACGGAACCACCTGTTGATTTCTGTCACGATCAAGAGCCGTATGAGATAGATTTCTCGATTACAGATGAGCTGTCGAACCTTTGGTTTATGGATTTCGAATGGTATTACGAGAAGTCGTCCGCGTGTAAGTCCTCTTTATCTTGTGGGGGTATTTGACAACTAAAGCAGCTTCCAGAGCTGGTCAACGGGAAGTAAAGCGACGGAAAGAGTTTCTCACGGGCCGAAGAGCAATACGATAAAATGTACCGCCTCCACCCCCCGTTCTCCTTCTTTCTAGCGACTAATTTAATGAATAGTTGCTGGTGCTCTCGCTATGGGCGGTCATCAGCCCATCTCTGCGCAACATCGCGATCAACGGATGTAATTTAGTGTGGGTGGTACTTGTCGTTTTGTGGGCAACTCTTTTCTTGGGCAGAATACTTCCGAAAGTGTTTTCCGTTCGAGAAAACATCGTTCTTATGAAGCCATGCCTACTCCTTTATGTGGCAGTAGTGACAGAAGCGAGTGGGTTAATGTGCCGTGTCAACCCCGAAGATCCCAGTGACTCGATGATGCTGTTCGAGTCATTCTCGTAGTAAGACTGTTTTGATGGTGCTAAGAGCATGATCAAATAATCAAGAGTCCTCTAATTGGATATACGACCCCCTGGATGAAATGCCCGAAGGGGTTTGTGTACGATGAGATGGGTTGGTTAGACAGTGAGGCATCCTCCTAGCTATGGCTGGAATGATGCTACACCTTCCGTTCGAGGCAGGGTCTAAAAACAAGAAACTGATGATGACAAGGTATATCGAGCGGTCGCCCTATCTTTGATCAGTGGAAATCAACACTCCAACGTTGCAAACGTGTACGGAACAGCCATGAGGCTTATCAAACCAATCGACTAATCCTATGTGCACCTACTTGGGCTGATAACAACCAATACTCTTTCGCGAACGTCAAGCCTCGATTTATCGCCGCCTTGCCAGAATTGAGAGGTCTGGGTTCAAATGATACGTCAGCTCGAGGATCTGGTTCAGATCCCCAGTCCAATCGACAGGCCTCGCCCCACCCCGCCTCATCTGACGCGCATAGCACTTGGCGTGGGCATGACCTATGGATGGTCTTTAGCCCCATGCTGCATCCGGGGCGCGAAATACAGGAAGTTGAGTTATTGCTGAAGAATTGAAGATTTCTTGGCACACCCAATGACGGACTTGTCTGTCTTCCTCCATCTGTTGATGAATTATTTGACGGTCCAGACGCCCGACTAGTGTAACGCGTATAGGTGTGTTGATTTCCCAACAATTATCCATTTGCATTTGTATGCTGTTTGAGCCGAGCCTTTGGGTAGGAGTACATGTGCGTCAGGCTCGTCTTCCAGACACCTCGCGGACCGACAAGCTCGTCCATTCAGAGTACCCCAAGTGAGCCAGCCTGGTCACCGCGTCATAGCAGCAGGCCGAGATGATTGGCAAACAGACCGAATGCTTGCAACCAGAGTTCTGGCAGAACGATGTCCAAGGTGAATGAAACTGGTTGGATGTTTCCCAACTTGGCCAGCTGGCTTTCCAGAGTATTGTATTTTAAGTCCACCGTCATGATCCTCGTCCATCGATGATAGGCCAGCGCTTCGCCACGGCGCCAAACGCCATCTGCGTTTCTTCAGTGCTCTAGAACTCGAGGTCTGCAGGTTGCTTCTAATGTGTGGGCAAACTTGGTGAGGATCGATCCTCATTGGAAGCCATAAAAGGGCGAGAACAGGTACCGCCAAGGGTCTCAATGGTTCACCCTGTTCTTCAGTGTTCAGGTGTTCACGAGAGAGGGTGCATTCCTCCGCGCTATCCATTCTTCTCTGAACACTGATACTCCCACCCCTACAGCTGATATCGCCATGGCTCAAGAACTTTCAAAACCATCTGATCTCGCATGCCCTTGGCCTGGCTGCAAGTCAGATGCGTTCTCCAACAACTCCAACCGGAAAAGGCACATGAAGGCAGTACATGGCCCAAAAGTCCGGACAGCGTGTGGAAAATTGTTTCCGAACCAGACGTGGAACATCAAACGCCATGAAGACCATTGCGCGGAATGCCAGAAACGGAACGACCCTGAAAATGAGGCTCCCCTCATGGCGGATAATTATGAGAACAACCCTGCCACGGCGCCGGAGGAGTATTCAACCCAGGATTCTGGATACGTTGGCCTGGATGATGAGTGCCTTGGACAAGACCTGGAACTGTTCCTCGACATGGACCCATCGCCTTGGACTGCAGAGCATGCCCCATTCGACGACCAACAAGACAACTGCCAACCATAATACGTTCAAAAATAAGGTGAGCGGTTCAAGCATTCACCATGTCGTTATGGCCGTCAACTAATAGCGATCACAGATAAACAGAGCGCTCGTCGCAGAGTCTCAGAAAGAGCGGCATGCACTTTTGAGAAAATCAAACGTTGTCCTCGAGAGAGGTCCCTTCACAGCACGGCTCTGTTCAAACGACTTGGCAGTTGGTTTGTCTAATGCCGAGGGTATTTTGAGTTAAGTGCTATTTTGTCGAGGCTTCGACATGATAGATAGCGCCGCTGGACTTAATTCGGCTAAAGGAAATTGACTGTAAAATATTATTGGGAAGGATGCTGCGGGACGAGAGAGCAGAGACCCAGAGCGCGGAGGAGGATGGGACCGGGCTGAGCTATGAGGAAGACGAATTGGGGGTGGGTTTCGGTATGAGACCTAAGCATCAAGTCGTCGGCGTCTATCGCTAGAGTATCCTTTAACGACATTATTGTTTATGCTCTTCACAGTTCATACGAACAAATTAGAAAACTCATCGACCTCTCCATGTTATCCAACGGCCATCAAGTGGCAATACCACCTCATCATGCTAGCCTATGAAGAACAGCCCAATCCTGAAACTCATTTCTAATAGTGGCTAATTGTACTTTTTGAGAATCCCACTTTGACCTCTTGCAAAGAGCTGTCCACTCTATACGTGTTAACATACAAAAGGTTGAAAAACTGGCCCTGTAGTGCCCTTCACCAACTCGATGTAAGGCACACCGGTAGTTGGACAGACTGGCGGCCAGCAATTCACCTGCTTCAATGGTTGCCGGCCAATTGGGCAGGTCTTTCTTCAGGTAGGCATCAAATCCTTGATTGGTGGAACCACCGCACTGAGTCTGCGTGTCAATTGAGTACGTTTCGAGACCAGCCACAATGAGCAACATAAAGTATTGTTCGATTTCCGAGACCAATAGTGCCTGCACTGCTGAACGGGGTACCATATATATCGAGTTTCCCTTATCGCCTCCTGCATGACTGCGAAATGCAGGCCTGTTTGCGCATGAGTTTCGATGATATCATCGGGTGATGTAATCACTTTGCTGCGTCTGGTAGATTTGTAACTACTAGTGTCTATTGAACGTGGATGCTCCTCAGCCGACCTTTGGGTTTCTTTACTTTACTGGTTGCCATTCCGTCCGGGTCCGTGTTTGAGTCTTTTGAGTTTGTGCTTGATTTGAGTCTGTGGTTGCTTGCGATCTCTCTCGTCAGATTTGTACTCAAATATTCGCCTTTTATCACCGGTTCTTTAAAATGAAGTATTCAATACAATTGCAAGTTAGACTAAGCGTGCTAAGAGGCTGCTGCGTGCACCAAATGAAAGTTTGTTCTGTTCGGTGTCTCGAGGCCTAAGCCTTTCGATATTACCTATGCAATCTCATTCGCAACTAAACACACTGTATATCATATTCTCTCTGTTGGCTTTGATAATGACCGTTTATAGACCTCTAGACATATTTCAGTGCACTAAATGCAGTCTCATCTACATATGCCCTGTACATGGTTGTGAATCAATATCATTTGTTTCTAAGTCTTCTAGTAACAAGCACGAAAGCAAAGTATGGCTCAGAAGTGCGTCAATCCTACGGAAAGACACTTAAAAATCATTTTGAGAAACCGAAATCAATGAAAAAGACGTGTAATTGGTGCCCCGGAGTCAGAGGCCAGAGTCAAGTCAGCAGGTTGTTGATGGTCGCTATACCTACTACACCTCGACGCCAATGGCCGGCTACAAAAAACGGTCTAAGAAGACACATTCGAATATCGATGGGAGTCTTATGGCCCTTTAAAACCAATCAATTCGAGGAGACACTCCTTTACAGGTTACATGCTCAGCTTGATCGGACCTGATAGCAGTTGGCCCGGATGATCTTGCGGCAAGTAGCCACATGCTGTTGCAATTTTGGTTCTCTCTCACTAGAAGAAGCGCTTCTCTGCCTTGCTATAGTATTTCCAAACATTACACCGTTATTTTAGTTGTTGGTTTCTTAAGTTCGCTCATGCTGTTGACTAAGAGAAGGGTTACTCTAGCAGCCGGAGTTGGTTTCGGAGCTGCGGCCCGCCCGAGGCGGGATCCACTGACGTAGGTAACTGCCGTCTCCGGTCCCGCTATGAATCCCGCCAGGCCACCAATCCGGAGGTTCACCGGACAGTGTGCTCACTTCTATTATTGGACGTGATATCTCGTCGTTTTCTGCCTGTGTTCGCTCCTGCGAATGGGCTACTTGGCACCAGCTAGAGAATCATCAAAACAGGCCTGATATACCAGGTCGCTCTTCGGGTTCCCATCGCCATATATAAGTCGAGGAATTCACCTGAACAAATACTTGAAACGAAACAGCGGTGCGAAGCTTCCGCTTTGGTGTGCTGGGACAGAGACGTAGGAGACCTTCACTGTGCGTGACACTACCTGTACTATTTCATGAGGGCTCAGCGGTGTTGAAGCGTCGTCCCCCGTTTTTTCCCAAGCACAGTCATGCCACCAGATGTGGCCAATCACTCCCATGTGTTTACGGGCGCATGAGCCTCAGCACCATTCAACGGTGCTCTAGTGTCATCAATTCTTATTAGCCAAAAACACGAGGCCAAGAAAAGACCCCTGTCGTTTTCATCTCACAGCTGCCACGCCATTTTGAGCTCTCGACTCTGAGTGGCATTTCTGCGGGAGAGAGAAGGAACCGGAGACTATGTTTGCAGTAGAAGATATTCCACCCACGCAGCATGCCGGCAAGGACAGAAAACTGCAATTCCTATAGAAAATCCAAGTCGCTTGAAGGGATATTGTTGAGGAGAAATCCTCATAATTAAAGTATAAAGAGCATTGTAGCTCCATTTTCTTGCCCTTCGGAGCCTTCTCCACCAAGCACTTTGCCATTTTGTTAACGTTTTAGTGGCATCGACTATTACAACCAGTCACATATCGCACTTGCCCGCTAACAAGGCTGTATCTCGCCTGTATCCTTCTCACTTCCGTCTATTATGAGCGAGGGCGTCTGAAAAATCTATTGTTGTCTGTTTTCAATGAAGTCCAGCGTCATGGCTTCTCTCAAAGCGACCACATCCTTCTACAAGTGTGACAAGATTCGATGCGAGTCCTCCTTCACCACGATGTCCAACCTCAAGAGACACATCAAACAGAAACATGGCCCGAAATCCCGAATGCTTTGCGGCGAAGAACGCAAGAACCATTCTTCGAACAAGAAACGACACGAACGCACATGTCGCAAGTGCAAAGCACTCATGGCCCAGCATGACGCCCTTAGGTTGGTTGCTGAGCCAGCCTCTGCACCTACGGATGTTAGTCGCTGCGCTGAGGTAGACGCGACGGACACAACTGCCGCCCACGCTTTCCCTAGCACAGGCCAGGGCGACGTTATCGAATCTGACAACAACTTGTCATTTGAAGAGTTTCTCTACACTCTCGACTCGGTACCGAGCATTATTGACAAAATATGGCTGAATGGTGAGCGGTGTTTTCTCGTGTTGGCAACTGAAAGCTAATGTGTAAGTTCGATAGTGGAGCTAGATGGTGAATGCTCCCACTAAGGTAGCTAATCAAAGTGTCTGGAGCGCGGCATCAATACCTGAGGTACCGACTGTAATGATTAGGCTTATGAGAAAAAAGGACGGAATGGATGCGAGTTATTTACGAGTTGGAATTCAATTATCTGCTGCCACCCATTTTGTGGCACTATCTGTGCTGTATTGACACGTTCTCAACGAACTGTTGTTAGTGGGCTTCTGCAGCATCCAGTGCCTAGGTAACTTTAAGTGAGTTTCAAATGAAAACCTGCATTCACGGTTCTCTTACCTACATATATCGCGAATGATGACTGGCTCGACTGGTTCCTGCGAAAAACACCGATCGTCACCTTTTCTCAGAACCAGCATTGCGGGACATTTTCGGTGAGTTACTTATCCTAGAGGTCCTTCTGCCGTTCGTCCCGTCTTCGTCTTCCCCACGGTGCAGGGTGTCAGGGACCGCCTCATCTACCTTAGTACCCCACAGCGACGGGAAACTCAGTGCCAACAGCATCCCAAGTCGCGCGCATGAAGATGTCAATACAATGGGCCGGAGAAAATTAAATCCTGCGAGAAAAAAGTGCTCGGAACAGCTGTAATAGATCTTATTTCTTTAGCCTGTTTTGTTTGACAACGCCATAAAACTCTGTCCCTGTTGTCGCTGATGATAGAGACATGAGTTCATCCCGCGCGGTTCAGTTTTGCCTTCTTCACCGTCAGTCAATGGCGCTTGACTGCTGCCAGAAATCTCGTTGTTTTCCCTGGAATAATTAAACGAAGGGACCAAATTAATAATTGCAGGCCGTCAAAAGCACAACACGATCAGCTTATTACCTTGTTGTGGTAGGAAATGTTCACAACAGTGGCAGGAAATCCGAGTTTGGGGTACACAGCAAGGATCAGGTACCCGGAGCTTAGGGGCTAGTTCCCGGACTCGGGAGCCAAGTGGGTCGCAACGGGCCTCGTCCGGCCCCGTTGAAGCCGCTGTCGCACGTGCGTGGGTAGCTCCTCAACCGGCAGGCAAGCTACGTACCTGACGTATCGCAGTACGCCTTGAACTTACCTTAGCTAGGTGCAGATAATAAATACTTGGCGTCTTCCGCGCGCGCATCTTTGGGGAAATCGCTCTGAGGAATTTACAAATCTGCTGGAAAGTCGTCGCAAGGAATGACTTTTTGATGTTGTTTGAGACTCTGGGTCGGGTATATGACGGAGTTCCCACTCCCGATGTACTCGTCCTTCATTTCCCGTACTGATCATCCAGTGCAGCCCACTCGGAAACAACAGTCGCCTCCTCGTCACGCTCATCAATGAGGCCAGTCAGGACCATGAGGTGAATCGCCTTCTTCGCGTACAATTTGGCTTGGTCCAGCTTCCCCAAGCCCATAAACACGTCCTGCAGAGTCTCGTAGATTTTGATCTTGGGTTCTTCCGCACCCTCCTGATCACACGCAGCCATGAGCTCCCGCATCACAGCCACTGTCTTGAAGAGGTCTCCTGTCTCGACAAGGGAGTCCAAAGTCGCCAACTGCTTCTCTATATGACGCGTCCGCTCATCGGAGGCTCGAATCTCGGATCGCGACGCAGTACACTTATTACAGCTGCATTCGAACCCCCAGTTCTTCATTCGACTGCGACGTTCGTAGAAGGGAATGCCTGGGGCAAGGTCTAGAGTGATTTATCGTCAGCGATTTTGTGGGGAAGAGACAGCCACGAGGCCCTTTGTCGCAAGGTGACACTCACAGGTTATCGTGATTTCTTCCCCGGCTTGGATGTCTCGGTTTGCTGTGACGAGAGCGCCAAAGTTGCGTGGCGAGAACCGCGGTCGGGCGCTGTAGGTACATTAATCTGAGGTTGCATTCATTGGTACATGAGAGTACCACACTCCACAGACGCCAACTTACTTTGGTGTGCAATCGTGATTCATGAGCTAAGGTGGATGCAAAGAATGTCAGTCACCCACATAACCTGGCAATACTGCATTCATGTCGGATGCTTACCGCAATCTCAGGGAATAGCCGATAATAGCTCTCATTTTCCACGTCGAGAGAAAAGGCATTGGTGGCGAGAACATCAAGCACGATATCATGTTCAGGATGCGCCCTGGCGCCATCGTAGACACGATGCGGCTTCGCCAGACGGTCCGTCGCGAGACGAAGCAGAGCGTTGCTGTCTTCCTCGGTAAGCGAAAGCATGACCCGTGAGTCCACGACGAGGATGGCATAGTCGGCGAGAATGGGCTCGTCCTTCTTTATCAGACGAGTAGCCACGACGCCACGGCCTTTGCCGGGGATCTCGACTACATTGTAAGGGGTATCTTGCAACGCATGCTGGTAGGTATCGGCCACGAAGCCCGCGAAGTGCGCCGCGTGTTCCGGAACAGCAACGACGGAGACACCGTACGGACCACTGGTGGCGGCGGTATAGGCGCAGAACTGGTCTTCCGGTCCGTGAGCCGCATCGACGCACTGTCGGGGATGTGTCCAGGGAAGACTCAACGATGTGTTACCAAGGGCAGAGTCTTCCGCTGGGATGGGGCAGCTGTTGAAGGTGTACTTGCTGAGCACAAGCTGGTTGAGATCGCCGCGGCTGCATTGGACGTCGGACTTGTCGAGTAGGCTTAACTGTAAGCCATGTACTGGAAGGAGGTGACCCAGAATAGTCAGAAGTCCTTGAAAGGCATGTTGATGTCTGAAAATCATCTTGAAAACGTCTTGCAAATGCTATCAAAAATTGGGCTCAGGGTGAAATGCATCATGCGCTCAGTTTGAATGGGCGGCAAAGTCGAGAACTCCTCGGTGATTTCATGAAAGCGACGGTCTCCCAGATCCAAGGTGACTCAGCGAGGCAGATATCCTTATCTCCAGAGTTGGTTAGAATGGCTGAGGGCGGCTTGTACGTACGATCGCCCGATGTCTGACTAGCCAGAGACGTGATATGATGCCCAGCTTCCCAACACAAGTGTCCCCATTTCGGGCGGTTCCAATCGGTCCGTAGGAATGGCTTCCCAGTTTCAGACAGAAGTTGCCAATTTTGCTGACCGGACATTAAGGCCGCAACGTTATCATGGTCAGCCAAGAATAAAGGTTTCTAAACAAATATCAGGCTTCAGCGTTGGCAACCCACGTGGTGCGGTCAAAACTCTTGGATGTCGTCAACCGGTCTCAACCAACTGCGCCAATGCGGCGAGAGAAGTAGTTCCGCAAGTGGTGTCTAGGCGCGTCTATGTTCGGAGAAAAGGAAGTTGCAGGGATACTATACGGTAACAACGCGGCGTAGTCGAAAGAACATCAGACAGATCGGCGAGTTTTTCAGCTCCAAGACAATTGACTTACCCAATACCTATGGCATGATTTACGCACATACATCGCCTTCCAACCAATCCAACTCTGGGATATCCAGAGTTACACCGTATGGGATGAGTTAGTAGTATTGTAGAAGTCTAGAAACACCTTTAGAGTTATTCTTCACTCAACGGTGCCGACATTGTCTCTCTGCGTCTACCTTCACCTAACTTTGCACATCATGATAATCCAGCTCATTGGTGTTTCGTTCAGTTGGGAACCTAGAGCCTCATCGGGTCCAGATTAGGTTTTACAGGAAAGAATTCTGTCTGTTGTCCGTTTCCGGTAGTTTTAGCAGCACAATTAATGCTAGCAACTCGCTTCGGAGATTAGCAGTTTGTTCAATTAGTCGTACTTATGGGCCAATGAATTTATGTTTATATGTCGACGTGTTCTTAATTCCGGAATGTCTAACGAGCGTATAATCTGCGCTATTACAAGCGTAGCTGGCATTGTTCCCCAGCATACAATGTAACAAAAAGAAAAGTAAATCTGTTCTGTTGCCATCCATCCTTCCGAATCAGTCTTCCAAGAAAGAAGGGCGAATCCGCCCACGTGCTTCGATGGATCTGACTCTGTCACCTGTACATGGTCTCATTCACAAAGCACCAAGCTCCTCGAAGACCTCCTTAACCCAGCCGTAGTCCTCCTCAGTAAGGGTAACGTAGCGGACGCAGTCGTCGCCGCAGGTGACGGGGATGATGTCGTTGTCCTGGGGGTTGCCAATAAACCAGGAGACAAGAGGCATGCAGACGGCGGGGAGGCCTCTGACTTCGATGCCATCCCAGTCTACACCAACGGGACCGGTGATCTCGACGGTGCCATCGAGAGCGTCGATGCAGTTGTCCCAGTCGTGCTGGTTGATGCCCTCAGGCGGGGCAGGGCGGTCCTGACGGCCGACGAGGTCGGACTTCTTGACGTTGATGAATGTAGGGGTCCTCTTCATCTTGCGGCCGCAGTCGCCGACGCTGCAACCAAAGCCGGCAATGCCCACAGCAGTGCCAACGCGGCCAGAGGTGACACCGTAGGCCGCAAGGCCCTTGCCAACGCTCTTCGCCGCGGCTTTGGCGCCGACGACAGCAGCCTTAGCGGCGATGGGTGCTGTGGTGCCCTGCATAGCAGTGAGGGCGGCGATGACGGGAACGGCAATGTTGTAGAAGTGCATTTTGAAGGTATTGATGAGTGTTTATATGGATAGTGAGTTATGGGAGTTGATGAGAAGTCTGATTTGTTGAATGGGGGTTGAAGTGCTTTGCAGTTTTTGTTGCTGAAGATGAGGAAAAGAACAAGAGCTCATGGTGAGTGAATACTGGTCGTTTTATAGATGAATTCGACAGCCTCAGACCACCATCATTCCCTCAGCTTTGCTCTTTGGCCCCCGAACATTGCCATGAAGTCTCTCAAGTTGATCCCGATGGCCCACAGCACACTTGCCGTCACTCTACCAGCAGCATGTGGACATCTCAAGTCGTATGGATGGCTTCTGTCGTGAAGCGGTACGCCCGTGCCGTTCCTGTGAGAATGAGACTATGTTGGTATGGGTCATGGTAGAGATGTCGGAGTGGAGTCTCGCAACTATTGAATCCTTCATTTCATCATCTGAGGCACAGAATATATTTCGAGGATCTCATCCTTGCCGCCGAGGTCTTGTCTTGATGTGAATACTAGAACATCCGTCAGCGTAGGCCGGCAGCCTGCAACAGCAACGCGTTCGTTACTTGGGCGAAACAGAAACAGCGCCGGTTTTCAGAACGAAACGAATATTACCCAGGCAAAACTATACATATCATAAATATAAAAATTGAATATGTTGTTATCAAATACAGATACTTTTCAAAATTAGCCCTGTATTCTTTTTCTTGATAATAAAGAAACTATAGAATCTGACATGATAGTAAAAGGAATAGATCTATCTGGCAACCGGCGTTGTCTTTCTTCGTCCGAGTGTGTGTATGCCTTGTAAGAAAGAACAGGACGTACCTCATACAGAAGTTCGAAAGTATCTTGTCTACACAACTGTTGGGCGACAAAACACTTTCCAAGAAACAGAAGTTCCCAGGTTTCCGAATGCTAAGGACCAAAAGTGGGGGAATCGCGCCGCAAAATGCAGTTGATAGCGTTTGAATGGGTGTGCGGCTTGTCTCGTATGTTTTTGCCGCGATTGTCCCGTAAGGTGGAGGAAGAGAAATCTCCTATTGATCCCATCGCCCGCATGCGTGGCGAGCCGCCGCGGCAACAGATCAATCCCTGGGTGCCTGGCTACGAGCTCCTAATCCAGGCGAGGACAGGAACGACTTGCCGCATGGAGCTTAAACTGACACAGATTGGGACTCTGGTTCTTTTTCTTTTACCCGAGTAGGAAATACTTCCCCCGCTCCGGCGCCGAGCCGCAGCTGCCTGCCGCCGAGAGTCAAGTCCTATTCACCGATGCTCGGCGCCTAGGCGCTTATGTGCCTATCATTCAGCCTGGACACTCTTAACCACAGTACCGATAAATGGCTATCCATGGATGGTGCCTTTACCTTTCCCTACATCTTGAAGAAGCTCGGTTGAAAACTCACGCCTCAATAAGAAGACACCCGACAAACTACAACACCAGTCACATACCAAGAACTACACACCCAAGTACTACACACTCAGTATGCGCGCTACTCTCGTCTCCGCCCTACCGATCGTTCGACTTGCAGGCACTCTTTTCATGGCCTGGAAGCTTCTATGTCTTGTCGCCAACTCGCCGTACCCGGCTATGGTCGTTCTCACCGAGTCCATGATGCCCGCCTTCCAGCCTGGAGACGTCATCATTCTCTGGAACAGAACCGAATACGTACAGGTCGGCGACATCCCCGTCATCTGGTTCACAGGCAACCCTCTCCCCATGGTACATAGAGTCTCCAAGACTGCCTTCGAGTAAGCCTCGCACTCGTGTCTCTTATTCTATTGAATCCTTCTGCGTTCGGTGTTGTTGGTCTTTATCTTGGCAAAAGCGATCGTCGATCTTCTGATGCCCAATAGCCGCCAACTGTGACAAGACAAAACCAGCCAAGTTGAATAGAAGAGGTTTCTGCCTGGAGCTCCTGTGAGATCGCTAACATAGTTTAATGTTACCTAGCACGGAAGGCCGTCAACTCATTCGAACAAAGGGAGATAATAACGACATCGACGATGTTTCCCTTTACCCATCGGGCCAGGATTATGTGGACAGAAGCCAGATTATTGGCCTCGTGCGCGGATACCTGCCGCGGATTGGCCTGTTCACAATCGCTGTTGGACAAGTCCCGTGGTTGAAGGAAGCTATCTTGGCTGGTTGTGTACTTCTGAGCGTGGCGATACAAGCAAAGCCTACGGAAACGCGCCAAAAGTCGGGCAATTGACATTTTGATACCCACCAAGCTGCTACAATTCCTTACATTTTCTAGGTTTTGTCTTGCATGTTGATCAATTGGTAACATGAAGGTGGTAACTGGCCAACAATATGATGTTGTTAGGCAAGCACAGGTTCTACGTGTTGAATCTGGAGAGACCACAAGTAAAACTTCGGATACAGCCATCTCGGAGTCATCCAAAAGAACCAGCTGTAGACCCATAGTAGCCCGATGACCCGTCCTAATCCTCTGACAACGTCGATTTTGAGAATCCAATCACATCTCAAAGCCCGTAGGCAGTTTCGGAAAACACTGGAAACTAACCTCTCAACGACAATTATACCATAATTGGCAACGAAAAACATGACATCCCGCAGTGCTTCGCCCTCTCGAATCTTCCAGGCCACCACGGCATGGGAGATCCCAGACACCAGAAAGATGCCAAACGCCGCAAAGGACTTTTCAGAGCTGCTGCCCTTACGTAGTCCCAGAGTCTGCGCCACACGGCTGGCCCACTCCCAAGCCGATGGTACCATGCAGTTATGCCAGAACTTGCCCCAGAAGCGGCGGACGGTGTACGCCTCAAACGGGCTCCCGTACAATGGCGGCCAGTCCGAAGGATCGTCAAGCCGGAGTATGCAGACGCTGATCACAGCGAGGATGGCGTGGCCGGTCTCCAGGGCGCGGACGCTGTTCCACACCCACCAAATGGCTGTGACGGCACGCAGGCTGACGACTTGGGGCTCGAATACACTAGAGTCGCGGAAAATGACCCGTCTGAGGAGGATCTCTTGGTCCGGTGCGTAGTGTTCGATGAAATTTCCCGAGTCAATGTAAGCCGCGAAAGGTTGTACGACCAGGCGATCAGCGAAATTGATGGCCAGCATCTTGGAAATGCGAAGAAAGCCGAATTCTAGCAGCCTGCCCAAAGTTTGGTGTTGAGGTAGTTCGTTTGCAAGTCTGAGAGCCCGGGGATTGTTCCAGATGCGCCAGGCCAATGAGATTGATTGTTTACTCGGCAATACGAAGGTTGGGTGCTTTCTGTGGTAGGTTCTCTCCTTTTCCTTGGTAGAAGTCGATGATACATCAAGCCCCAGGAAGACTGACCGCTCATGGACGCATAGAATCAAGGGAGCGGCTAGAGTGTAGAAACATGATATCATCCCTGTGACTGAATCCAGGCCAGCCGGCCCCCAGTCAGTGACAGGACCATCAATAGAAAGAACGGCAATGGCGTTGAGAATTAGAACGGGGATTAGAAAGAATCGGCGCTGAAGTCTTGGGGAAAAGTGCAAGGCCACGGTCGTCAGGGTGACGGAGGCGGCAAAGGCCAGGTTTGGCGCCGCAGCCCGGAGAGAGAAGTTTCTGAGCAGGCTGGACATCTTCTGATCTTCCGAGAGCTTGAGCCGTCAATATCCTACACCAGAGAGTTCGCAGATCTCGTGGTTTTATACACCATGAAAGACAAAAGAATCCCGATTCGCTAAAGGCTGCAGTTACGAGCATCTTAAAGCTAGGAGCGGCTGTGAGTAGACGATGTGGGTGGGGCAAATGTCCGAGTTCAAGTCGAGTTGCCCAGAACTCAGCTCCGTGAGGCCAAGGAAGTGTATGTTACATGAAACGGAGAATATTTAGATTAGCAGTAATTAAGTCTTCGCTGGCTCCCAACAATCCAACGGAGGGGCATGATCAGCTGGACGTCTGCAATATCCTGGTTCAAAAGAATCCCCTACGAAGGCTGGAGGAGGCTAGGTTTGACACGGAAATAGAACGGGGCTTAATTTGATCGGCTGCGGGAGACAAACAAGATCAGCAAACTCAGACGGGACGGCTGCTTGGCTGTCTTGCTCCAATCATTGCCAAGGGGCTCAGGATTGGAATCACGCGTCGCCCAGGCTTGGTAGTAACCTATAATGACGTTATACCTGGCTCGGCGTGTAATACCAACAGAGCACACAAAAAGCCCAAACATATCAACGATTTACCGTCTTTTCAGTGAAGGAACATACCTCATCCAGCCCCTCACCATATAAGACAAGTCGCCGTCAAGGCACTGAACAGGGTGCATCTCAATCGAACCTCATTTAGATTTGGGACAACTTGAAGCAAAGTCCACACAAAGTTACTCAGTCAGTCTTCGCCTTCACATCTAATCTTCACCGTTTGTGATTCTCTGCTAATTACGATTTTGTTTCCATAGCCAGTGGATTCTCGAGGTCACTGTCAATATCCCTTCGAGACAGAATGCCGCGGTCCGGTCATACCCACTCATCCGCCCACCAGATGGATCTCGAGGCCAAGAGGCGAAGAGGAGAGGGTTATGAAGAGAAGTACTGGAATAAAGCAAGGCTCAAGCGAACCATCGGCGGCTTGGTCTGTATGTGTGTCGTGGCAGGCATCACTGTTGGTGTTATTCACGCCGTCGGCAAGCTCTAAGTTCGTTTCTCGCCGGTAAGTGGTGCCTTTCGATTGAACGCCTCAGGAGCAATCGGCTACGGTCAACTTCTTTAGAGGTTAACAATTATAACAGGACTTGGAAAGTGTCGTTCTCTTTCGGGTTGATTTAATATATGAGCCTGAAGCCTTTCTGTAATCCTGTTGCAGCGTATCATCTCGTAGCCTTATTTTGATAACCTACAATTCTGTTCGCCTCGCGTCCCTACAAGTTCGTAGTCCTCCTGATAAAATGGGATTGAAGATCTAATATTAGCGTAATAAAGCCCGGGGGCGCGAACAGCCTAGGGATCGGGTGGCCTATCCTTCCATCCGGATCTTTAGCGTATCCGCGGTAACGAAGCTTTCTAAAGATGGGTTTGGCTTGGCATTTGTAAATGCGTCGGCAGGGTTATCGTCACCGTTGATCCATCAGATTTCTATGGGTTCTCGGCGTTCGTACGACTGGCGTAGAGCCATAATATCGATCATCAATCTCTTCTCGTTGGTGGTGCCGAGTTTCACAAGGCACTCGTACAACAAATAGGAGTCAGTACAGACGATCGTTGGGATGGTTGAAATCCCCAATCTGGTCGTGATGACTTTAAGTGTGGTGGCGATCGCGTAGGCCATATCGACGCCAGCGGCCATGCCGTAAACCTCGGAGGCTAGTACGCTGCGGGTGAGGCGTTCGCTCTTCGTCGAACTGTAATGAACGACGTTTCCGGTGATCTCGAAGTTGTCGTTATCGTTCTGAACGCGTTCGTTCGCTAAGATAATGAATCCTAGTTGCGAAGTCATATCAGAATTGTTCGCGAACGACCCGTCGACAAAAGACAAAAGCTTAGCTGACGATAACGTCAGCGGAACGAACGTTAAGCCTCTCGAGGGCGAAGTCAACTGCCACTGAAGTCGCGAATCCAGCGCGGTGATGTCGGCAGTATAGGGGTCTTGACGTTGAGCCGCAGTCGAAAGGTCAAAACAAGCCTCTGATTGGCAGCAAATGCAATATGCCGCGCAATACAATGCAGCCACCCTTAAAATCTGGTCATTAATATCATCTCGCCATACCCAATGAGTACACATTTAACATTCAATATTCTGAAAGAATAAAACTCTGTCCTGATAAGCTTCCTGCCTCTGGTTGGCAGATTGACGAAGTCTGTGCTACATTCGCCGCATCCACAACAAGATCTCTTTCCCGGAAAGATTATGCGCTTGCCAGGTTTTCTTCAAAGACAATCCAGTAATGGCATCTTAATACAATGTTGCCTTTGGCTCGCCAGAAGTCTGAAGCAGATACCTCAGCTACTTATACACTCCAGCTCGCACCGCTCCATCGGAACCTCTGGACTGAATACTGTAAGCCAGCTATCTATTTAACAGCTCCATTGAATGTCTTCTGTCTATTATAGGCTCATTCCAAAGCATACGCGAAAGCCGAAGCCAGTAGCAGCCAGAGAGCCGCGAAAGGCTATATGTGCCAAGCGCCTTCTCCCGCTCTGCTTCCATTGAGCTAAGCCCGACACATGTGTTAGAATTACAAAACGAGGGATTGCATTGTTATCAAGAAAATCAACTGACTCTCCAGCCACCTTGTATATCCGCAACATAACAGTTGCTCCTATCAAGCCGGCGCAGGTTCAGCATCCATGGCATAGAGCCAAGCAACAAACTATCAACATCACAGAAAACCATCGAGACAAAATCCTTTACTCTAAACGTAAAAAAGAATCATTTTCGCAAAGCCACCCCAGATCTACCAGGGAGGCATCCTATGCCGAGATGTATACAGAAAAACACAGGTGTGCGTTGTTGGATGCAATGCATTCTTTTCTCAGAGAATTCCATTAGTACGACGAATTGAACATGGAAAAGCGCCGGTTGCTCTTATCATTTTCACTTCGCTTAGCTTTTCGGTCAGCATAGCGCGCTGGGCTCACCTGCCTCCTCAGGAACTAGTCTGTAAGCAAGCCCAATGTCAATCCCCATAGTTTCCAGTAATCTAATACTCTGCATTCCCAGCTTCGCGGTTGTCGCGACTTGGTCAACGACTGCTTGATAAAGGACGAGAAATGAACTGTCTACTTATGGTAGTGAGAAACAGCAACGCTAATTGTGGCATATAGAAAACGGAAGATCAACCGGGCACGAAGACGGGGATAGGCGTTCACCGGTATCCCATCTGTCGGGGGAGCATTAAAGATCGTGAGTTCTACCATCCAAGTCCCGCAGTCTGCCTTAATCGTGAAAAATGTAAGACAAGATGGCTTATTCCTCGTCTGAGAAGATAGCCCACGGTCAATTTGGAAAGGGAAAACCCATTCATAGCGCTTCATCGGACATTATCTTTATCTGGTGAATTTCCAGCCCTAGAAGCCTGGGTGTGCAAGATCAAGAAAGAAACCATCTACCCTCAGATCCTCAGAAAGGCATAGGGTTCTACACAGTGTGTGTAAGAATCAGAAAACTCACAGACCGTCTGTCCTCTGGGGTGAGGTTCAAATAAGGTCGGCAGCTGACTCAACTCAACAAATGCTCATGTCAGAGTGAAAGGGAAAATAGGATGATTAATCACAATCGACCGGGACAAGGATAAAAAAAATAACGAAGAAAAAAAAGGAGAGGAGATAAGTAGAAGGTACATTGGTCCAAGGCTAGCATCGACTGCCACTAGTGGCAGGACACAAGACGTTCGGTGCAGCAAATGACACATTAGTCATGTAGTCAGGAGTTCGGAACCAGTACGAGGGCTAAGAAGTGGGAGAGCGGTAGATATAAGGTACTCCAAGTTCATACAGATAGAATCGGAGAGGTGGTGTGCAGACGTGTGATCTGGCACAACTCTCGAGCAGAGAATTTTGACACCGTTCGCAGGCGTTGTGAGGCATCCAGCGAGGGGCCCAAGACCACAACGCGGATCGCCAGGTCTACAAAATACACGCCAATTCAAGTTGAGCGGGTTATAGAACGCGAGTCCATTAAATGTGCGGCATTCAATGGTGTGCCTGCGATTTGCACGGGGGTTTAGTGATCGCCGTCTAAGTATATAATACTAGTGCATAAGAGAAGAAGGAAGGTGCTGTTACTGGATCGCATAGACTGGGGTAGGTACAAGTGAGTGAATAAAGGGGTGAATAGATGGATGGATGGATAGATGGATGGACTGGGGGGACTGGAACTGGAGGGACTGGACTGACTGGACTGACTGGACTGACTGGACTGACTGGACTGACTGGACTGACTGGACTGACTGGACTGACTGGACTGACTGGACTGACTGGACTGACTGGACTGACTGGACTGACTGGAGGGACTGGAGGGGACTGGAGGGGACTGGGGGGACTGGAAC